GCGTTTGCACGTTTTGTAGCTAGACGAGGTTGTCCTCAGCGGGTCCATTCCGACAACGGCAAAACCTTTGTAGGCGCCTCAAGTCTTCTTTCCCGTTACTTTACGCAAGCGCTAAAGGAGTCGGTGACTGATGCGTATAGCCATCAGGGACTCGTGTGGCGTTTCATACCCCCAGGAGCTCCTCATATGGGAGGCCTGTGGGAGGCAGGAGTAAAGAGTTTTAAAACTCTGTTTTACAAATCCACGTCCGCTCGCAAGTATACCTTCGAAGAGCTTTTCACGCGTCTTGCCAAGATTGAAGCCTGCCTTAATTCCAGACCGCTTTCTCCAATGTCAGAGGACCCGACAGACTTGCTGGCACTGACGCCAGGCCATTTTCTGATCGGGGTCCGTTGCTTTCCACGGCGGAGCCTGAAATCAAAGGCGAAGCCAAGTCGATTATAAATCGATGACAACATCTCAATGCCCAACATCAACAATTTAGTTCACGATGGAAAGAAGAGTATCTAAAGGTACTCCACAAGCGCAACAAGTGGCTAAGGCCATCCAGAAATCTGCAAGTCGACGATATGGTAGTCGTTAAGGACGATAACTTGCCATCAAATGACTGGCGGCTCGGCAGAATCGTAGCTGCTATCCCAGGAGCTGATACTAGAGTACGCGTCGTAGATATTCTTACTTCTCGTGGAACTATCCGACGTCCGGTCCACAAAGTAGTTCTCCTTCCTATGGATGCTAAGGCAACCTCTAAATCTCCACAATAATGCCTTCTGTTCCCGCTGCCCACCCCGTAAACATCACTAAAGCGACTCCTTTTCTGATTTGTTTGTTGTTTTGCTTTCTCTTCCAAGTAAAGGTTCAGAATGGCTCCTCGTCCTCGCCCACGCACTTCCCAGACCCTTGTCAGGAGATGATCTCGAGGTATAAAATCCTACCGCTGCCGAGTCTGTCAGGGTCTACATCCGCTACGGAGATGCAACCGATTCCTGAGGCTCAGTTCAGAGAAGCGTCTCCGAGCAGTACTGGTGAACAAGTACTGCCACAATTGTTTGGCTCATCAGCACTCCGGAGGGAAATGTCGCAGTGGCGACGTTTGTAAAAAATGTGGACAGGAGCATCACACCTTGCTCCACATGCACGAGATGCCCGCGATAACTCGCCGATCGCCTTTCCAGCAACGTCGACAGTCGCCTTCCCCGCAACGCCACCAGTCGCCGGCCCCGCAACGTCGCCATTCTCCGTCCCCGATTCGTCAGCAGTCACCACAGCAGCAGGCATCCGCATCGCAGTATCGATCGTCTGCCCCACCGTCTATTGTGGCCCCATCCGTGACCCCGCTCCTGCAGCACAGGAGTATACATATTCTGCCGACGGCCATTGTGGTCATCGACACAGGGGCCAACAGCTACGAGACGGGCGCGCTCATCGACCCGTGTACCCCCGCGAGCAGTATCGATAGCTCGCTGGCAGAAGCTTTTCGGCTGCCGACCACGCAAGTTGGAGACGAACGAGTGTGCTCAACGACCATCCGGTCGAGGTCGGGCGATTTCAACATGGATATGGTCCTGAAGATCGACAACAGTCTGAGGATCCGAACACCGATTCGTGCCCTGAGCGATGAGGTTCGGGCCAAATTCGATACCATCCGACTAGCCGATGACCAGTTCCATCGTCCAGCCACCATCTCCCTAATGTTGGGATCCGACGTGTACCCGAAGGTGATCCAACCCGGGTTTCTAAAGTTAGTTATAATCTACCAGTGTACGAAGAAAGAAGTGAAGTTTAACTAATTGTGAAATAAATTCTACGTAAAGTGAAAAATAAGTAATTTCCCTGGACTATTTAATCAACCCCATTGGAGAGCCGCCCCTCGCCATTTCAAAGAGACTAAGAGAATTTTTAGGTATTAATACAAACGTGCACAAAGATTTACAGTTCACTCGCGAAGCAAACGGATTTTAAATGTATGTTTAAATTCCTGAAAGAAAATGAAATTTTGTTTCGACCCACCGATTGGATTAAATAAAACAAAAATACAAAATCGGAGCGCAGAAAAAAACACGACCTTTCACTTTGGAAGTCAAAGACGAATTATCGAGCCTAACATTAAATACGATTCATCAGGGAATATAAAGGTGAGGAAAATAAATATGTAAGATGGAGAGTATCAGCAAAAATAGCTATGGGGCAAAATGCCAGGGGGAGCGATAGATTCTTTTCTGCACTATCACTCTTAAGAAATAAAATAAAGAGTATGGCAAATGATGCCTTAACTCACAGTGTAACAGTTTTAAATTTCGATGCCGTAATGGCAAGATTTGACTTTGTCTTCAGTGACAAGCGTCCCATTATTGAACAAGAATTGAGTATTTTAAGTCAGGGAAAATTATCTGTAATTATTATGAATTGATTAGTAACAAGAAAGGAAATCTTACTTCGGGCGCAGCCGAAGTTCATATACCCTTCCAGAATATTCTGTAAATTATATTCTTCAAAATTATTCATATAATGAATTCTTAATACTCATAAAAAATCCCAACTTCCTAATTTTAAAAACACCATAGTTATGGCATTTCCAATCGTTCAAGTATATGGCAGCTATAGGATATAGTCGGCCGGTCCTTATGAAATTTGGTAGGTCAGATTGATTGACCAAAATTAAAACCCATAGAAAATCCTAACTTCCTAACTTTACAAACACCAAAGTTATGGCATTTCCAATCAATCAGTTGTATGGCGGCTATAGGATAGCCGATCCTACTTATATACTGCGTGCAAAGGAACGAAGGGTGTGTGCAATTCGATATCTTTAAAACTGAGAGACAAGTTCTGTTTCTACAGACAGATGGACAAGCGAACATGCTTATGTATATAAACTCAGGACGCGATCCTGATCAAGAATATGTATACTTTATAGGTTCGGAGATGTTTCCTTCACGGCGTTGCACACTTTTGACCAAAATTATAATACCCTCTGCAAGGGTATACAAAATTAACTCTACTATTATGGAAAGTTACAACATGAGGACGTATTTCGCAAATAGTTTCACAACTACACAGAGGAAATATAATATATTATATATAAACTCTGGTGGAAATGGTCAAGTTTATTTGAACAAGAAACTAAAGCAACTTAACAACAATAATAATAATCAAAGGAATACTAATAACTTACGGCTTAATGAGGCTAATAATCAGAACAGAAATAATTATAACAATTTTAATCAAAATATAAATAATACCTGGTGTAACGACCTTATTCTTTATTTCTGCTCGCTACGTAAACGTGCGGCTAGCTCAGAGAGGTTGTGAGTTCGTTCCACCAAATTTATATTGAGTGACCGCCCGTGACCAAAGGATAACGCCAGAACTGATTAGGTTGGTGCTGGTTTATTGTTTCTCTAAAATATAGCCTTACTGCTATTAATCTGCTGCCCGTTGTCGCTGTCTTCTGCTGCGTTGCTCCTGGCTCGCTGCTGCGCTGCTCCTGGCGTGCTGCTGCGTCGCTCCTGCCCTGCTACTGCGTTGCTTCTGTTTGCTGCTCCGGGTGACTGAGATCGGGACGACTCCACCAAAACCCTGGATGTTATGCGAGCTTCCCTACCGGGGCCGGCAAGGTGTATCGCCTAGCAGGTCAACCGAAGTTACGCCTTATCGCCTAGCCACCTTTATCGCCTGGCTTCCGGAGTTCAGCCTGGACTTTGTCGGCAAGGTGTATCGCCTAGCAGGTAGAACAAAGTTCTCCTTTATCGCCTAGCCACCTTTATCGCCTGACACCGCGCAAGGACTCCCTAAGTTTGACTTTACCACGCCCTAGCACCGTTGGATCTCAGCGTTGTAGCCTCAGCCTTGTAGACTTGTCGTCGTTCGGCGTCTCGACTTTGCGATCTTGATCCTTGGGCACTTCGGTTTCGATGTTTACGTATTCCGCGTTCACGCACTCGCTCTGATTCTCGCACTCGCACTGTCCCGAGCTGCGCTTGCGCCGTCCTTTTTATAGGCGCTGTAGGTGCCGTTATTTCCCTCGAGTCCAAGGTCCACTGAGGTACCGTTAATTCACGGTGTGTCCTCTTTGGGCGGGTCCGAAGTCCTCCAATTTACCGTATGACCCCGTTGCCCTTGCCATATGAGGGTCCAAGGTCCATCGAGGTACCGTTAATTCACGGTGTGTCCTCTTTAGGCGGGTCCGAAGTCCGCCAATTCACCGTTTGACCTCGTTGCCCTTGCCATATGAGGGTCCAAGGTCCGAATGTTTCCCGTTTGACCTGGATGCCCTTAATTTCTCCAGTTTTCTCGCCTCCTCCGCTGTTGCTAGGCCGATCTCCTGCATCCTCACATTTCCCCCTTCCTTCGGAAACGTAATGAAAGTGGTGACTTTCCCCGCCTTTGATGTTTAGACTACTCGAATTCCTCGCCTGACTTGCGTGTTAGATATTCCCCAGACAGTTCCCCGAAAGACTTAACCTTTCCCCAGACTGTTCTCCTAAAAGACTTTACTCGTACAGCTCCTTGAATGACTTGAACTTTCCCGCGACTGTTTCCCTAAAAGACTTTTCCATGCAGCTCCTTGAAAGATTATTTCCCCAGACTGTTTCCCTGTTTCCCTGTTCCCCAGATAGTTCCCAGTTCCCCAGACAGTTCCCAGTTCCCCAGAAAGTTCCCTGAGTGGAATTCGAATTTTCCCGCCCAGACATTTCCCCAAACTAAAAGTCACCATTCCGTTTTCCCTCGGTCCGGCAACTCCCTGAAATCTCACCACGATCTCGTTTATCGATTGTGGGTTCCAGTGTTGCCATCGTCGTTGCCGTTTTGTTGTCTTAAGTTGCGATTTGGATTTTTTAACATAGAAATAACCAATTTTCTTAACAAATCGATCGCAACTATCAATCGACCGCCTATCTCGGCGTCCCCGTCCCTATTGCCTATGTCCGGCAACTCCCTTGTTCCAAAACGTAAATAAACAAACCAGTTTGTGACTTTAAAACCATTAATGGCTTTTATTAGCCCCTTAGGACTCTTACCACCCCGTTTGACACCCTGATGCGGTAGCGGACGCCGTCTACCACCAGGAGTTTGGCCCAGGGGCTGCTACGGGCTCTCCTCTGCTGCCTGTTGGCCTCGGCTGCCACCCTGGGCGGCCACTCTTCCTCGGCCATCTCCTGCCAGCGGCTGCTGTCTGCCGAATGTTGGCGGCTCACTGACGGCCTGGCTGGTGGGGACCGCGGCTCCGGGCACGACGTCAGCCTGGCGACTTTGGGCGGCCGTGCGGCTGGCACTCCTGATGTCGGCCACACTAAGGGCCCCTTCTCCCAGAACTCCGGCTCCCCACCGAGCCGTTTTGCTGGCAACGGCGATGGCGTTGGCACCCACGGTGGCGGTGGCGGTGTTGATGCCCGGGGCGGCGACGGTGGTGGCGGTGGCGGTGCTGCTGCCCGCGGCGGCGACGGCAGTGGTGGCGGCTGCGACAGCGACAGCGGTGGCGACGGCGGTGGAGGTGCTTGCGGCGGTGACTGCTCCATAGGGCCTGGCCGTGCCCAGATCGCTGCCTCTTCGGCCTCAGCCTCATCCAGCCGCTTTTGCCACTCTCTGGCTGCTGCGGCTGCCCGTGCCACCGCCCGCTGCGCGAATACTCGCCGCACCACCTCTGCCCGGGTTGCGAATATCCGCTTTGCCTCCTCGGGCGGCCCGATGGCGCTGCGTCGCCCAACCGGATCCGCCCGAATCCGGCTGCGGCCCTCCTTATTCGGCGGAATGCCATCCGGGCCTTCGCCGCCCGACGTGGCTCGTCCGAGGAGACCTCCGGACTCACCGTCTCCGTCCCGGTGTCCTCCTTGTCTTCCTCCTCCTTCTCCTCGGACGAAGGCAGGTCGATGGTTGCCACCTCGGCCTCCTGCCCTGCCGGCCGGACGCCGGCCTCCTCCTCCTCCTCCTCCTCCAGCTCTATATCCGTTATGCGCTCCTCGTCCTCCCATTCGGGGTTCGGCGACGGAGACCGACACCAGGGGGGGACGCCATTGCTACGGGCTCCGACTGGTCCCCGCTTTGGTATGCGTTACCCGGTAACGGTATCCGCATCCTATGACCCTCCCTCTCCCGCTCTCGCGCTCCTAAAGCATCTGTGTGAGTTCGATACTGTGTATCGTCCTCTCCCTCTCTTTGGATTCACAGTGCGCCCCCGCTAAGTCCTACTTCGATCCTCTGTTTTGGCCATCAATAAATTGTTTTTTTAATTGGCTAACGTGGGCGGTTTTTCTTTGCCAGTCTTTTCATGCCGCAAATTGCATATCACCGGCGAATTAAAATTTATTATCTTAAAAAGCCCGTCATATTTTGGTGCCAATTTTGCGGCGAATCCTGCTGCGGCCTTGGACAGATGATGTTCTTTAGCCCAGACTGTGTCACCGATGTTCGGTTTCCATAGGCGTCTACGCAGATTGTAGTGGCGTGCCTGATCCTGCGCTGCCTTTTCCATTTTCGCCTCGCTCGAAGATTTCTTTAAGCTTCTGTGCGTTCTCGGCCGGAGTTTGCGTATCCCTTCCTTCGTATTCACGACCAACTGCAGTTCCGGCCACTTTTCGTCCCAAGTCCTCTGGTCTGCCCCGGTGAACTGGGCGATCATCCTTTTCACCGTCCTGTTGGCTCTCTCCGTCGGGTTTTCCTGGGGCGTGTATGGGGCCGTAAACTGGTGTCGGACGCCTAATTCACCCAGGAATTTTTTAAACGCCCTGCTGGTAAACTGAACGCCATTGTCCGTAATCAACACCTTGGGCACGCCGTATCTTGCGAGGATCCGGTCGCGGATCGCCTTTTCCAGAGATTCCGTCAATTCCCTGCGCATTGGCACCATTTCGGTCCACTTGGAGAACCTATCTACCAGCACTAGTAGCATAGAATTTCCGTGTTTGGAGCGGGGCAGTGGTCCGACGAAATCTGCGCACACAGTGGCCCACGGCTCTTCCGGTACTTGGGTCAGCATTTTTCCGGCCGCCTGTAGTTGGCTTGGCTTATATCGTAGGCAGCTCTCGCAGTTTTGCACATATTTCCTTATGTCGCGGTGCATTCCCGGCCAATGGTATCTTGCTGCGACTCTGGAAATTGTTTTCCGACTGCCCATGTGGCCAGCTGTCGGTGAGTTGTGGTTCTCCGACATTACCCTCCGCCTGGACCCCGTTGGCACGCACAGCTTCCATGATGTGACATCCTCGTTGCCTGCTCTGTGCGGTATGTGGCGATATAGCTGGTCGACTTCTGTCATGTAGTCTGGATATTTTTGGGGATTTTGGGAAATCTTGCTCCGCATATCCCTTATCCAGTTACACTCGCCGGTTTCCTTGTGCTGTTCCTGTGTTTTTACCCGTCGACACGTTTCTGGCAGTGGCTGTCGTGGTAGTGCGTCTGCTACTATATTCAGCTGGCCCTTTCTGTACGCGATCTCAAAGTCATATTGCTGCAGTTCCAGCGCCCATCGTGCGATTCTTCCGGTTGGGCTCTCGATGCTATTCAACCACTTCAGTGCCATATGATTCGTGATCACATTGAAGTGGTAGCCCTCCAAGTATGGCCTTAACTTGCGTATGGCCCACACAATTGCCCGGCATTCCTTCTCAGTCGCTGAGAAATTTCTTTCCGAACCATTCAGGGACCTACTGGAATACGAGATCACCCTCTCGCCTTGGTCGGAATTCTGTGTGAGAATAGCACCGAGCCCGTAATCGCTGGCGTCGGTCTGCAGCACAAATGTCTTTGTGAAATCTGGGCATGCTAAGATTGGGTCTGCGGTTAGCCTGGCCTTGACAGCTTCAAACGCCTGTTGATGGTCCTCTGTCCATTCCCATTTTGTGCTTTTCCGGAGCAGGCTATTCAACGGATGCACCAACGTTGCAAAATCTGGCACAAAACGCCTGTACCACGACGCCACTCCCAAATATTGTCGTAACTCCTTAACGTTGGCCGGTGGTTTTATTAAGGCAATTGCCGACACCTTTTCTGCGTCTGTTCCGATGCCTTGGTCTGTTATGCGATGCCCCAAGTATTGCAGTTCCTTTCTAAAAAATTTGCATTTTTCCGCATTTACTTTCAGGTTGGCAGCCCGTAGTCTCCTAAACACTTCCTTCAGGTTTTCCATATGCTCTTTGAGCGTTCGGCCGATGTCTTCCTGATACGCGAAGGCATGCGGCATCATTTCAGGTCCAATGACTTGATCCAATGCCCGCTGGAATGTTGCCGACGCGGAGTGTAGGCCAAATGGCATCACCTTCCATTGGAACAGGCCCTTCCCTGGTACAGTAAACGCCGTATACTGCCTGCTGTCTGCCTCCAAGGGGATCTGCCAGTAACCGTCCTTTAGATCGAGACTGCTGATGTACTTCGCCTCTCGCAGCTGGTCCAGGATGTAATTTATCATCGGTATCGGGTATGCGTCCTTCATGGACCTCGCGTTTATTCGCCGGAAATCCACACACAGCCTCCACTTTCCAGTCTTCTTTCTCACCATGACTATTGGTGAGCTGTAGGGACTGCTAGAAGGCTCGATGCATCTTTTTTCCAGCAGCTCGTCTACCTTGGCATTGATCTCACCCTGCATTTTTGGATTTTTAGGGTAGTACCGTTGTTTGACTGGTTGGTCGTCCTTCATGGTGATCCTATGTACGGCCACGTTGGATGTACCCTTTATTCCTTCCAGTTCGTCCAACTCGGCTTTTAAAAATCCCTCCACATCCTTTTCCGCAAATCTTTTGGGTGTTTCAACTATTGCCACTGACAGTTTCTCCTCTAGCCATCCTCCTCGTCTATTCTTTGCCGGTATCGACGCGCTGTGTCCTGCGCACTCGACTTCGGCCCCGATTCTGGTGAGGAAATTCCATCCCAACACCAGGGCGTCGATCAGTCCTGGTAAAATCAGCAGCTCCATTGAAATTGTTTTCGTTTCCAGTCCAATTTTGGTCTCCAGCTGTGAACTTATTTCCCCGCAGCGACCGTCTGCCATCCGTACTTGCCTTCTCGTGGGTCCGACCCTTCCTGCCGCCTGCAGCCTGTCCGCCAGCTCTTCGCTGATGAAACTCGCCGTGGCGCCGGTATCCACCGTGGCCTTAATTGTACTTTCACCTATGAGCACCGTGGCGGACAGTTGCATTTCTTCCGCCTCCAGGTCGCCCATTAATTTCGAGTGGCAGCCCCTTGCGATCCCTGGCCGCCCCTCGGAGGCTGGGGTCGCTGGGCGTTTCCCGACCTGGAACAGCACTGAACCGTCCGAACTCCTATTCTTCCGCACCGCCAGCAGAACGTAAGCCGTTTGGTTTCGGCATTCCTTCGCCCAGTGGTCTGGACCCCGCATCTGCGGCAGGCCTGGGTAAGATTTGCTACGTATCCGCCGCGATTGTTTGCTGGTTCGTGGCCGCGCGGCGTACTTCGTGGTTGTGCGTCCGGGTCCTCCTGTCACCGCCTGCACACCGCACCCTGGTCTGATCTTGGCCTTGGTACTGGTTGGCTCTGCCACCAGCTCGAATTTCTCCCTCTGCTGGTCGAGCTCCTCAAATTCGTCTGCCAGCGCCTTCAATGTATCCAAATTTCGACATTCAAATGGGCGAACGAACATTCTGAGTGCCAGCGTGCTGTTCTCTTTTATCCTCTCCAGCGTTTCTTTGGTTGACATATTCAGTGGCCGCATCAGGGTCTGTATGTCCACCATAAAATCTTTGAAGCTCTCCCCGTGGGCTTGCTTCCTCTGTCTGACCTGGTCCGCCAGCTTCGCCATGTATCCTCGGGGCAGAAAGTAATTTAGGAAGCTGTAGATGAAGTCTCCCCAGGTCTCCCAGTGCCGATTGTTGGCGATGAACCACTTCAAGGCTCTGCCTTGGAGCAGCTCCGGCATTGCTCGTGGGATCTGGGTTATGTCGAGACCGTAAGTCGACTGACCACTCTTCTTGCTCCAAAAATTCCAGCGGCTTGTCGTTTCCGTCGTAGCGGAAATTCCACTCCTGGACCTGCTTGGCCACCTGCGCGTAGTCCTGCGTGTGCGTCCTGAAACTCTCCTTTCTTTCCCGGCTATTTTCCCGCTGCCGGCTTGCGTGGCTTGCGATGCTCGACACATCCAAGCTTGCTATCAGGTCCTCGGCACTTGCGGTTGTGATTTTGAATTTTGGCGTGGGCATTTTCCGGAATTTCTTTTCCAGGCCCATTACCAAATCGGTGATGTCTGGCTCCTCTGCCGTCTGGTCGACGAAGTCTCCCAGAGTCTTCCTCATCGAATCGACTGAGCCCTCCAGTTCTATTCCCAGAACTTGACTCATCTCGTCGAAGTCCTCCTTCCTGAGATTATAAATCCAGGACTTCCCCATCTCGGAACTTTTGTTTTCTTGGTCAGGACAATCACTCTTGGGCGCCAGATGTAACGACCTTATTCTTTATTTCTGCTCGCTACGTAAACGTGCGGCTAGCTCAGAGAAGTTGTGAGTTCGTTCCACCAAATTTATATTGAGTGACCGCCCGTGACCAAAGGATAACGCCAGAACTGATTAGGTTGGTGCTGGTTTATTGTTTCTCTAAAATATAGCCTTACTGCTATTAATCTGCTGCCCGTTGTCGCTGTCTTCTGCTGCGTTGCTCCTGGCTCGCTGCTGCGCTGCTCCTGGCGTGCTGCTGCGTCGCTCCTGGCCTGCTACTGCGTTGCTTCGGCTTGCTGCTCCGGGTGACTGAGATCGGGACGACTCCACCAAAACCCTGGATGTTATGCGAGCTTCCCTACCGGGGCCGGCAAGGTGTATCGCCTAGCAGGTGAACCGAAGTAAAGCCTTATCGCCTAGCCACCTTTATCGCCTGGCTTCCGGAGTTCAGCCTGGACTTTGTCGGCAAGGTGTATCGCCTAGCAGGTAGAACAAAGTTCTCCCTTATCGCCTAGCCACCTTTATCGCCTGACACCGCGCAAGGACTCCCTAAGCTTGACTTTACCACGACCTAGCACCGTTGGATCTCAGCGTTGTAGCCTCAGCCTTGTAGACTTGTCGTCGTTCGGCGTCTCGACTTTGCGATCTTGATCCTTGTGCACTTCGGTTTTGATGTTTACTTATTCCGCGTTCACGCACTCGCTCTGATTCTCGCACTCCTACTGTCCCGAGCTGCGCTTGCGCCGTCCTTTTTATAGGCGCTGTAGGTGCCTTTATTTCCCTCGGGTCCAAGGTCCACTGAGGTACCGTTAATTCACGGTGTGTCCTGTTTGGGCGGGTCCGAAGTCCGCCAATTTACCGTATGACCCCGTTGCCCTTGCCGGGCGTGGGTCCAAGGTCCATCGAGGTAGCGTTAATTCACGGTGTGTCCTCTTTAGGCGGGTCCGAAGTCCGCCAATTCACCGTTTGACCTCGTTGCCCTTGCCATATGAGGGTCCAAGGTCCGAATGTTTCCCGTTTGACCTGGATGCCCTTCATTTCTCCGGCTTTCTCGCCTCCTTCGCTGTTGCTAGGCCGATCTCCTGCATCGGGATTTGTGGGGAGTTTATGACTCCTCACACTGGAATAAGGGAAGATTTAATAATAACCAACAAAATCAGTGGAGCTCTTAAAGACCACAACAAAGTAAGCCAAAGCCAATGGATGTAGAAAATAACAAAATAACAACTACAATCAGAATAAATGGAACCAAACCAAAAGAATTGATACACAAAACACTCAACAGGAACAACCTCAAAATAAAAGAGTACCAACAGGAAACTGTTAACCAACCGGCTAACAAAACAATGAGGTTGAACAACATTGTAGAATATCATTTTTTCAAGCAAACTCAAAAGTAGGCTTACCCTACTTGATATGAAATGAAAATAAAATAAATACAAAATGTAAAATATTAATTGATACCGGGGCAACCTCTTGTTACATTAAAACATCTCAACAGTTAATTCGGACCCGCGGCAGCGTGGGTTCCTACCGACTGATAGGTGTGCTGATAATTCGGAGATGGTCGACTTAATCCTGAAGAACAGCCATAGAAACTATAATTCTTGCCACATCGCCAACTTGGATGTTAGCAAGATATTTGACTTCGTATCTTATGTTTCAGTCATTAACACAATCCATTCGAGAATCTTGGTCCAAAGCTGTTGAGATTGACACGAGCCCTCTAAAGCCACAACAGAAGTTATTTGCCCTCAGAACGGTCCTTATCCCACGGATCTATCACAAGTTAACCCTTGCGAGTGCGACGATAGGCGTTTTGAGAAAGTTTGGCGAACTGACACGATTTTAACTCTTCCACTCTTTTGGTCAGAAAGAAAATGACAGCCATGTTAACTTTATTTTAAAAGAATCCAAACTGTCCTTCTCAAATCGCGTAAATTGGCCTTATCTTCTTATCATGTTAGTAGTTGTTGCTAGTTTCAGACAAGGTCTTTATCCACGAGGGGGAAACTATATTTGCTTAAATAATAAAGATAAATACAACTAGAATAAATATATGTTTTTACAAGCTATAACTGAGGAAAATTCCATCATTATGTCTATATGGGGTTTCATATATGAGGGCGAGAGTTTCCGGAATTCGAGCATCAGTGAATATCCAATCAATCTGCGTAAGGTGTTTTGTTGTTGGAGAGCTGTTTGTTTCAAAAAGGTTATACGCATTTAAAATTGCCGCCAGAGAATCAGTTCTTAAGGACCTACAAATATAAGAATCTCCTAATATTACCATTTTAATATTATATTATATTATCTATTCTGCGCACCTTTTCGACGTCAGCTTTAATTTCATTTCGAAATCTTGTAATAGGAAATCTAGGACTCCTATATACAATTAAAAATGACGTGTAAATGCAATTGATTTATAGGTGCTCATCGGGCTTATTGATTTAGTTGTTTCGAACAAAAATACAACATTTTGCGAAATTCTCTCCTTAGCATAGATGAATATTCCGTTCTTCCCAAGACCATTCAAACGATTGCTATCTATTCTCCTTATAATGTCAAAATCCCTTTTATTATACTCTTCATGTGGAAGAGTCTAGGTTTCAAAAAAACATAAAAAGTTTGCGAAAGAAATAATTTTGTCGTTGGCAATATCTTCGTGGTGAGCACGAAGAGATTTAACATTGTGATAATACAATGAGATGGCATAATTTCTATTGACCAAGAATTCATATTGCGTAGTCAAAGCCTTTTTCCCTCTTAAATATTGAAGTTCTTCTTGGACATTTGTTGCTCCAAATCTAGTTGGAGGAATAAAGTCTCCTAGAAGGAAAAGACCCGATGCGCTTGTTGCCCTGCTGCATCCTACGTAAAGCGAAGCTCGCTTAATGCCTCTTTTAAGATGCACGGCGACTTTGCTGTAGGTTGCTCCTTGGCTTTTGTGGATGGTAATAGCCTCAGCAGGAACACTTGGGAATTGCTTACGATCATTTTTAACGTCCAGACTCTATTGCTTTCTGACATATTTGCTGATCTATGGCAGATAAAAAAACTCTTCAGTCTGAATTTGGGCAAGCTATAGGGTATTATAATGGACAACCCCATCATTAGAGCAGAACAAATGAATTGCGTCATCGGCAACCTCGGTGGGTCAAGCAACTCTTTGCCTAAGAAGCTCTACATCTGCGTCTGTCATATTGGCCTCGGACATAGTATTTAATGCCAAAGCAAACGCGTGATCGTCGCGCTGTCTCATTATTTCTGTTAACTCAAAGAACTTAAAATTATTCCAAAGGTTAGCTTCGGCAAGAATGTTATAGGGGTTATTACTGTTTTCTTGGAATATCCACCGATTCCCAACTGGACTAAGCTGCATCAAATCTCCAAACACTATTATTGATTTTCCACCAAAAATTTGATCTTGAGTTCTACAAATTTGTCGAAGTCTTTCATCTAAATACCCAAACATTTTCGATCCGACCATGGAAATTTCATCTATAATAATTAATTGGATGTCAATTAACTTACAATGCATAGAATCATTGCGTAAAGAATCATTACTTAAGGGTCTCAAGGGACCCGAAGATTGATAAACAGGAGAAAACAGAATGAAGCGTAAGCCCTCCAATCCCAAAAGCAGATTTTCCAGTAGGAGCACAAAGTAAAACCTTTGCAGAATCAGTTGCCCCAGGAAGCTTATTCGCCCGCCACGTTATAGACTGATATATTGTTGAAATCAGCCTACTTTTTTCGACTCCAGCACCTCCACCAACATATTCATAAAAAATTTTCTTTGCGGCAACATTATGCATTACATGGGCATAATACTGGCGTTGCTTAAAGTTAAGCGACCTAGTAAGGGAGCAAAGTATGTCTTCAGATACCAAAGGGGGAAGTCTAAGAAAGTCTTTGACTTTCAAAGTGAACGGACGTGATTTTTTTTCTGCGCTCCGACTTTGTATTTTTGTTTTATTTAGTCCCATCGGTAAGTCAAAACAATTTTCATTTTCTTTCAGTAATTTAAACATACATTTAAAATCCGTTTGCTTCGCGAGTGAACTATAAATCTTTGTGCACGTTTGTATTAATACCTAAAAATTGTCTTAATCTCTTAATTCTGTTCTGTGTTTTTCTTTTCTTGTAACCCCGTCGATTCTCTTTTGTGCGTTGTTCGTCGTAAGTCGTAGTGCTGTTTTTAGTGTTGCTTTTGCATGCACTTGAACTAAATTACGCTCCCGCTCTCTCGCTCTCTTTGTTTTCAAAGTTTTAAGCGTGCAGTTTCTGCGCTCTTGCGGTACTTATAGCTGCTCGCTTATAAATTTTTAATTCGTTTTCGAGGTACAGTGGTTTCAATAGGTAAAATGAATAACAATAATTTAGTCTGCTTCTGCAAAAAATGCAGCCTCGTAATCAGAACTGATCAAGCTAATATGACTTGCTAGCTGTGTGAAAACTTTACTGGCCGGACAAGTGATGACCTTTCAAAGGGATTTATTTTGCAGTTCTGTTGTGATGCTTGTGTTGAGGTTGCGAACGAGATGAAATCGTTCATGCGCCAAACTAAAGGCGGCCTGATGGGGTTGATTAGCTTTTTCGGAGTTGCTAGAGATAGTTTTCGCTGAGCTGATGATCTCCTCTCTGCGCTGGATTCGCAGTTTAATAGCCGTAGGCTATTAGAAGAGACCCCAGCGCAAAAAGGCCGCTGGTGGTAAGCAGCAAAAGGGGAACACCCCGCAACCGAAATCAAAAGAACAACAGAGCATTCCGGCGGATCAGACAGCTGATTGCAGCAAACCCTCAAATGTTGCTAAGATCAGCAGCTAAAAAAGATTCGGTATCCGAACAATCCGTAACAGAATGCATGCAACCAGGGACTTCTAAGAATTCCGATTTGTCCGTAGTGGTTTCACAATTAGTGGATCCACCTATCTCTCAGAATGTAGCATCAC